CTAGGTCTTATTAGCGCCTGATTACATAATCTATCTCGGTTTACCTACTCTCTTAACCTGTTTTTTTAATTGGTGGTAATAGGCCTTGAGAGCCTCATGTTGGACACATTCTTTGGTCGGGGTGGAAAGTTGAAGAAATTTATTGTGAGCATAAATCTGGGAGAACCAGTGTCTCTGCACAGCAAGAGGTTGTTACTAACAGTTGTTGCTCTGTGTTACGGGATTTGCAATCAGGATTGATGAACATTTCAGTAAAGGGTCACTAAATTACGAGGTGCCAGAGCTCTGAGAGAATCGTTGGGTTCGGGTTCTCTCGGCATAGTCCTTTATCTTCAGTGGGCTCTCAAAGCTAGCTAGAGAAAGTTGGAAATGAAGAGCTTTATTTATTTATTTTTTAACACTATAGTTTGGGTGGCAAATGTGCCTCGGTTGGTCCCTATGCATTAGGTTTCCAGGCCCTGTCCTCCCTGATCCCACTGCTGTGGGAGATAGAAGGACCCAGTCCTTGAAGGTGACTGCATGAGAGGTCCATGTTAGAGCAATGTAAACAATAGAAAGGAGTGGCATGTCAAAGAATGGCATGGCAAGAGACTGGGTGCTCTGTGATTGTAGAGAAGCTTCTTATCTACTCTCACAGTGCCTCTTGTGGACAGGAGGAGTTATTGCAGTGTCTTCTCCAAGCCCTCCAGGAAACCTGCGGCAGGGGCTTCTCACCTATTCTATTAAATCAGTGTTTAATTCGACACCTACTCTCAGAGCTGAACTAGGCAGCTTAGCAGTTAGCAGTGATCTCCACTGTGATTTTTCAATAGTTAGTTTTGTCATTTTTATTATCTAAGTTGTCTATCTGGCTTCTCTTTGATTTCTAGGTGAAATCAGAACAGCTGTTTGCATAGAGTCAATGTCTTTTTGTGGTACAGTACATAGTGGTTTTCTGTCTACTCTGGTTCTGTTTTATTTAGCCTGAAATCACTGTTTTGTTTGGTACCTGCTAGCAGTTTGTCTGGCTTTTTGGGCCAGAAATTATTTTTTTTTTCTGCCTTCGGGAAAATGTGGAAAGCAATTTCCCCAGATTCAAGAAGCAAACTGATTTTTCTGATTTGGTTATTAAATGCATTTTTCTTTTGCTTTGCACATTCTTAATTCTTCTTTAGAAGAAATATTCAAATAGCTACCTTCACATGTCTCTCTGAGAGGACAGAGTCATGTAGTTTCATGAACTTTCATTTATAATCTCCAGTGGACTAAAGAAGAGAGAGAAAGAGAGAGAGAGAGGGAGAGAGAGAGAGAGAATTACATATGCACTTAAGTGTGCTTGCTAACTGATGTGTTGTTCAGAATGATGTATGTATCTGCTGCTTTTGAATCTGTGATTTGTGGATCTCAAATCCTTTGAAACAAGGGCCGACAAGACAAGGCTTTGGTACAAAGCCTCATTGTGAGTGTCTCAAGGATAATGGGGTTGTCTCAACTGAGCAGATCCTTAATATTAATTTTCTTTGCTTTATTTTCCAAAGCATTAAAAAACTTATTTTGCCTAATATATTAGCATTCATTTATGGGCTTTGAAAACTAATCCTACTTTGAAAGGAGAGTTTTAAATTTGAAATATGAGGTCTATATAGCGGTGCCTTGAAATCATTAACTGTCCCTTCAATATTAATTGCAGGTATATCCATCATGGGGAACTTGTTTGTCAGTAACGTGAGGGGGATGCAGAAGCAAGCGCTCCTGGAACCCCTCCAGGGGAAATGCTGTCACTCAAAACTTTGTTCTGGAATCGACCTGACCTCAGAAATGGGCTGTACCTATTGACAAAGTGACAGTTCGTAGTTTTAACAAAGCTGAATGGCAGTTTTAGCAAATGGAGCAGGAGTTGGTTCATGGATGAATCTGCCAGGCAGCTTTGACCCTGAACAAAGCCTTTATGGATGAATTTGATGAGCTTGAGGGGTCAAAGGGTAAGGCAAGCTGCAATCAATGTTTAATTTGACATTTCTGCCTAAGATGTAGTTTATTGGCAATGCAGCCCACCTGTCATAGGCTTTAGCCTGCTTGCAAGAGGTGGCATTTGTGTTTGCTTGCATTTCTGGCTAAAAGAGCATTAATTTATGTATATACTATAAATGGATCTTTACTTTTTAACACAGCCCATTCCCCTGTCCCCAAGCACTTCTGTGGCTTTTCTCCTTATGTGCTTATTGACTTACGTGCTATTGATTCCCTGTTGGGGCTGGGGCTGTTTCACTTTTTGCTCTTATTCAGCTATTTTGCCTGTTAAATTCTAATCTGGGTCTAAAACATTTTCCAATAAAGGCAAAGCTTGCGTATCCTCCAGTTGGAAGGGAAGTTAGGTCCACAGAGGGCCCTGGGGGTATTTCCAATCAGAGGGCTTTGCCTTCTCTGAGGAGTGAGTTCCCTCACTCTGGAAATGCCCCTGCAGTTCCAGAGGAGGTTAGGACAGGAGTGAGCGTATCTTTTAAAACTGGGTTTTTGCTTCTGACTCAAGCCCCTCTGGTTTCTTACAGCAGCACCATCTTCCTGGTACAGATAGGGAAAAGGAACAGGGCTGAGTTGTCCCTCCTGAAAACAAACAGCCTCAACCTGATTGCTGGTAGAATTGCTCTGCCTTTAACTCCCTGCCTGTCTCTTTGATGATCCAAGGAATTTTCTATACAGTCTAGGTACGGGACTACCCAATTCACTTTTACTCTTCAATAAATTCAGTCCAGCAAACACCTATTGAGTGCCAGCTCTGTAAAATTACCATGGAAACCCAAGTGAAATCTTTAAACCACCCTGAGGAAATTGCTCAGCCTTTCCACATCTCCTCGGCACTTCAGGGAGCAGGAAGGGTGCATTTCAGTCCACGCCAGGCTTGCTTACATTCAGCTCAGACAGCACAAAGGGGGAAACAGATGGAGGAGAATCTGCAAAGCTGGTAATATGGCCTTTTGTCCTGGGTGTTGTGATGTTGAGCTCCTAGGGAGAAGAGTGGAGAGCCCGAGCTTTGATTTCTGTTGGAGAAAAGAGCTGAGTTGGGTTGCAGCATCCTCTCCTTGATGGTGTCATCGCCCACACGCTGTACCAGGGCAGGACCTACAAAGGGATGTCTCAGTGCCTGGTGACAGCCTCGTCTGCAGCACCTTGCCTCACAGTGGGGGCCGAAGGTTTCAGGAGATCAAAGCCTCGATTATGTGAGGCACTCATCACACAGCAGGAGCTGGCTTATCCCTGACACGGGGTTAGAAACCACAGAATGCTGGTCCTGACCCAGGGTTTACAGGAACGGGGGACCCATGCTGTTTGATCTGAAGACCGTAGTGCCAGCTGTGCTGAGCAAAGTTCTGACTTAGAAAAGGGGAAGCTGGGGCTTTGGCTTTTAAGACCATCGTCCTGGTTATAAACCTTTGGTTTGCAAGTGACCTTCTCCACCCCTCCCTAAAGTAAAACTGGCTTAAATCATGAAGGAAATGTACTGGTTCAGTTAACGGAAAAGACTGGATGTAAGTTTAGGTGAGGATTTCCCCAGGAAGCCAGCGATGTCACCAAGGACACAGCTTCTTTCCTAAATGGTTACCAGCCATTTGCAGGCTTCCTCCTCCAGGTCTACCAGGAAGTAGAAAGATCTTTGCCTCAACTTTCCTAGCAGTCCCTTAGACTCACTCTGTCCGTACTGGCTTGGATTATGTGACCATCCCTAAGCTAATCCCTGGTGGACAGCAGGAGCTCATAAACTCTCCTTAGGGCACAGTTAGCTTTTGGGAGCCAAATGGAAACCAGGAGCTCTTTAGGGGGATTGATTTAGGAAGGCAAACAACAACTGTTCATTAGAATTTGTGAAGGACGTGACTTGAATTTGCCCATATCTTTGCCTGGTAGTATCTATTCACAGATAATTATAAGAACAACAACTTAGATCGGTAAGTGTCAGTAGCTATCACTTAGTTCAAAATTTACCATTAGATCGAAAGGAAGCCACTGTGTGCCCTTCGTATGAACTGTATTATGTAACCCTCACATAACCCCTGAGATCGTCATCATTCATCACCTGCCTTTTTATTCAGGTAGAGAAACCAAAGCACAGAGAAGCGAAGTGGCTTGCCACGAAGGCAGTGGTAGTGTGGGCTATCAGCACTTGAGCCCAGTTTGCATTTAAAGTCACTGGACCTTGATCAATGGTGACACCCCAGATAACATCCTTTGGAAAAGCTGAACAAGTCACCAGATCACTGTGTTACAGATAGTAGTGGGTGAAGATTTTCTACCAAGAAGAAAAGCTTTGTGGGAGAAGGACTGTCTAAGTTCCCGGATTCTAGGCCAGGTCTTGCCGCTGGCTTGCCCTCCAACCTGGGTTTCTCACCTTCTGTAGTTTCTTAGCCACCCCTTTTGGTAAACAGGGGTTCTGACTGCCTGCTGTCTTGGGGCTTCACCTCAGATGGCGCAGGTCTTCCCGAGTCTGAGCTATCATTTGTTTTTTTGGCTCCTGGGAGGCAGGAAGGATTTTATCCTCTGGTATATTTCTTCCTGTGAGAGTTGACTCCTTTAATAGACTTCTTGTTTTGCATCTGAATAAAAGGAATATTCAAACATTTTCTTTGCTAGTCTCAGAGAATCTAAAAGCAGCAAACAAATCATGCTGGAGGGAGACTTTCCAGTGGGATGATGATAAATCCTCTCGACAAGAGTCCTCTTTCAGCCTGTGGCTTTTGATCTTCTCGGTGTGTACTCTTGTCCTCTAGGCAGGTGTTCTCCTAAACAGCTGTGCTCCAGGCACACTTTTCCTGCAGGGACACTGCAGGGCTTGCATGGCTTCCAGTTCACGGGCTCAGGTGGAAGAGGGACAGGTCCACCGTGCTGCTATGTTAACCCGTGCAAGCCACATGATAAAATGCCGTGTTCATGTTTACCTTTCTTAGGGTGTGGAAGCAGAGGTACATGCCGTGCGGTCCATTGTGATGCGGGGCTCTTTGTCCCAGGGAGGTGGTGGCTCTAGGGAATGGAGCATGATGGAGTTCTCCAAAGACCTCAGAAGCCAACTTACCTGGATGTCTTCTTAAACGTGAAAACATCTCCTAAACCACTCGGTCCTGAGGATCAAGAGAGAGAGGTCGCGCTGAGTGAGTGTGCCCTTCTTAGGTGGCTTTGTGAAGAACAGCTTGTGAGATGTGCCCAGGGCGGGAGTTCAGACACCCACCTTTTGATGGGACAGTCTGAGCCCCAGCTTTCCCCCTCTGGGAGAGGGGGGTCTCTGGGAGTTTAGGACTTTCTGGCCCCTGCTGTCCATTATGTAATGTGGTGGGTGCTGTTGGTGCCTGTCTTGATCCTATTCCTGCCAGAGTTCCCATTTCCTGGGTGTTATGGGTGGCGGCAGCTAACAGGCCACAGTCCTTCAGGAATCGCCCTTTGGGGAGCCACCTTGCTTAAGCAGCTTGGCCATCTTCTCCAATTTGGGGGAGCAGTCTATAGCCAGTGGACTCAAGGGAAGTGCAGCAGCCCAGGCCACTTGCCTCACAGGGGGACCAACTCAGTAGGGGTAGTTTGTGCTTCAGACCTCGCCCGGAACCCAGCTGAGGCCTGATCCCAGTTGCACCTGCATCCTTTCTTGCTTCTTGTTCTACATATCCTGCTTCCTCGTGCCTTTTTCTGCAGGATATTTGCTGAGTAAACCACATGAACTCAGATTCATGTTTTAGGCTCTGCTTCTCTGGAATCTAACCTAACATATACGGTCATTGTCCACCGGGATTGTGCCATCAGCAAAGGCTTATCTGGAAACCTATTCATCGGGAGGGAAGAGGTTGTCTTCCATACACTTCAATCAGGCCAGCTCATTTGCCTTCTAGGCTTGTCCCTATTTCCTCCCTTGCTATTCTGTATGTTTTTGATGTGCCTACCCATTCACCCACCCATCCACCTTCTTAGCCATCCATTCATTCAGAGACTGACCTTCAGACTCTCCCATGTGATAGAAATTTTATGATATAGATTCTTCCCAGATGGACACAGCTTGATCTCACCTAACTCTCCTAGGCTGGGTTTGCTGCCACTACTTCCAGTCCAGAGCACCCACTCACCCAATGTGGGCAATGGCCTTGTCCCCCTGGCAGCAACACACCTTTAGTTCACTCTGTTTCATGAGCGTGTTTTCTTAGAGCCTCACCACCTGGCGCTGGGCACTGGTAGGAGCAGGCCAAGGGTGCTTTTCACTTATAAATGGTGTAGGAAAAATTGAGGTGAATTACCCGGCTGCTGTGTGAGTGCTTTATTGATTACAGAGAGCCAATCAAATTAGTTGTCAGAAGAGAATGCAGATGGCACCATGTGGAATGGATTTTCTATATCCCCTAATTGCATTATTTCAATCAGCAAGTGAACATTGCATGGCTTGCGGAAGGGTTGGGGTGGGGGAATGGGAAGGTTGGCACAATATATGGGCCAGACTGAGGAGATGGGTTTGAGTGTCACATGCATTTTAATATCAAGATCAAGGCATTAACAAAATGAGTCTGGCTTGCATTATGGATTAAATGCCAGGCAGGGGAGGCCTTTAGTCATAAGCTTATAGCAGAGAATGCCTCTGCTACCCTTGGAACCTGGAGATGTGTCAATCCCAGGTAGAAACAGATTGAAACAGCTCTCTTTTGCCTTTAGAAGGTCTTGTGTAGTTAAGAACTGAGCATGGTGGCAAACACCTGTAATCCCAGCACTTCTGGGATGCTGAGGCAAGAGGATCAAAAGTTTAAGCCCAGCCCACACAACTTAATGAGACCCTGCCTCAAAGTAAAAAATTTTTTAAAAAGGTTGGGGATATAACTAAGTGCAAATACCTTGGGTACCAGGAAAGAAAAAGCTATGTGTGCCTCAGACCTCAGTTCTTCTCTTTACTAGCTGAATGCTCTTTGCAGACTGCTTATGCTCTCTGAATCTCGGTTTCCTCATTTGGAAAATGGTGCTAATTAGTGTCTGTGTCACAGCAGGAAGGTACGCTTGCACGGATGAATAGAGACGATCTATTAAGGGAGATCATGTATACAGAATGTGGTTTGTGCGCAGTTGGTGGTGAGCTCTTCCTCCTGAAGGCCACTGCCTTTCTCTGGGCACCTGAAAGATTGAAAAGGGCTCCAAGGTTAGATTGTAGGATGGCTGGGTTAGTAATGGAGAAAGGGCCAACTGCATAATTTCTGCTCTTCTCAGAAATTCTCTTGCCGGAGAAGGTGAAGTTTGAGTTCAGCTTTTCCTCTGACTGGCAGGGTAAATGTGGAGATCTTCCTAAAGACCCAGCTGAGAGGAACCTCCATTCTCTGCTAGTGGTGAGGTTGCTTTTGTAGCTGTTTCTCACCTACCACTCATTCACTCACTCACTCACTCACTCACTCACTCAGTCACTCCCAGGTGTCCACCAGCAAGCTCAGTTCCATGACGAGGGCAGGCCTGCTCCATCACAAAGCCACTTAACTTTAAAAAAATATCAAAGGCTTCATTGGTTTTTTAGATTCTGTATGGCAGAGTTTTGGATGATCCTCAACACAGCATGTGATCATTTGTAGTTCCCTCTCTGGGTTAGTGTTGTCTGTAACTGAGAGTCAAGTCTAATAGGAAGTAGGGTTTGGTGCTCAGTAAAAATGGCAGGTGCTTTGTAGGCAGCTGAGCAGCCGTGCTGTTGCCTGGCAGCTGCGGGGCTACAGCTGCCTTTTCTCTGTGATGGGGCTGGCTAAGGCAGTGGATCAGTGAACACCAACCTCATGGTGCCCGTGGCAGCAACTTCTTCCTTCACTGGGGACGCTGTGGCTCCCAACTGAGATTCCCCACAAAGTCCTGTGCAGAAGGAGCAGGGCAGGAGTGAGGAGGAAGGTGGGTAGGATCAGTGGGCTCCCAGTGACATTGAAGTAAAGGCTCTGTTTATCATGCGTGGCCTGGGAGGGTATCCGCAGCTCCTATGTACCACGCCTGCAGCTCTGGGGTCTTGGCTGTCCGTGTTATGGTCACTTCCTTCTTCCACTGGAAAAATCCTTCTTTTCACCTCCCAGCTCCACCTGAGAACATGATCCTGTTTTGGACAAGTGCATTCCCTGCCTAAGAAGAAAGGAGGTAGCCGGTAAGGGGCAGGTGCGAGACAGCATCAGGGTCCACCCTACCACCTACAGAAGCAAACTAGGTCCTTTTGGTCAGAAAGACAGCAACTCTCATCTGCACCACCATGGCCGAGCAGAGGAGGGTGATGCAGGAAGAGGAGGGACTAGGAAGCCTATTCAGGGCCACAGGCTCATTCATGTGACTCATCCTCAGCCACTGGCGAAACACATGTGTCCAGGTCATGGCAGGAGAGAGGAGAGGCTCAACACACCTCTCCCATGCCCTTCACAAGTGGAGGCCGAGGTCTGGGATACAAAATGCTGTTATAGGAAATAAGCAAGGCCCAGTAAGTTCACAGTTCAGTGTACTGAACTCTTCAAAGAGAAAACTCCAAGGAAATCTAATTAGGAAGCCTGTAATCCAATAAGTGTCTGTGCTCTGGGACTGTGTGAGGGAGAGTGGGAGGGAGAGAAGACAGAAAAGGCTGGGGAGGGATCCTGGTGATTTTTACTTACTTCTAGCTTGGCAGGAGCCACGAGTGAGGGCAGCCTGGTGGGGATGCTGATGATATGCTTCTGTTTAAGGAACCAGAGACAGGGTGAGCCCTCCTCAGAGCCATCTGGTTATTCTAAGCCTGGGGAAATGTAGACACTGCTCAGGAAGGCTCTGAGGGTGTCCCCACCCCGTCCCTCCTATGCACAGTGAAATCCCCGTGTTCTCTGTGATAGAACCCTGACTTCCCTCACCGTCAGCCTCTCACTTGTTTGGATCTGTGATCAACATGGAGGAGGCCGGTGTCCGTGTGCAAATGTATCTTCTACTTCTCCCCAGGAGCCAAGCCGCAGGTTAGATATAAACAAGTTGCAGGTAAGGTAAGGACTGGTAGGCAGCAAGAGGAGGAGCAAGCGCCTTAGCCTGCTCCCTGCCCTCTCCAGCCCTCTCCTGCCTTCCCTAGCATGCAGAGACCGCCAGCACCGCAGGTCTGGACTGGGGTGCTGTGGGTGGCGAGAAGGGGCACAAGGAATATATGATGGATAACCAAAGCACCAGGGTTGCAAAATAATTTATTTTTCCCAGATTAGCAGATTCGGGGTTGTTGTTTAAATTTCACTCTTGCTCTACTGCTGTTTTGATGGAAGATGGGGTGGGGTTTGGGGAATTGCATGTGTCCTGAGGTATGTCTGGCCCTTCCATGGGAGCCTGTGGTCCAGAAAAGCCTAAAATGACTTGTGCATGTGAACAGTACTCAAAGTAAAAACTGGCACTCTGGACTTCATAAACAATCTCCTAAGAAGCCTTCTTGCATTTGGTCTTGCTTCCTTCAATTCTTCCCTCCCCCTGGAGGTCAAAATATTTTTCTAGAATATAACTGAGTATAGCCTCCGTAGTTTCCTTTTCTCAAAGGACAAGGCCCCTTGGAGGACTCCTTGGCATGGAGTGTGAGGCCCTGTGCAGTTGGTTCCTGGTCCTCTCCAGCCGCCAAGCACTGTCCAATCCCGCCTACCTGGCACCCCAGGGCACGAAGGCCAGGGCTGGTAGACAGTAGATGACAGACAGTTCTGGCCACCGCTTGTCTTTCTCTGCATTTGCACCACAGAGGCTGGGGACTTGCCTGGCGGAATTGGAGAGTTGGTGGTGGTGTAGTGACTCCAGATGATTCAGCTTTGTTTATTTTATTCCCCTTCAGGTAAGTGAAGCACTAGGGCAAGTCTTCAGGAAATACCTCCCTGATGTTTAAGATATTAAATTGTGGGGTTTTTACTGAAAGTCCACACTGTTATGAGGAGGTAGAGGGGTACTTCCTTGTCAAGGTCCCATCTTACTTGTGAGAAAATAGACTTTCCCACTGGCAGGTTGGCAATGATGTCCTTATTGTCACAGTTGTAATCCTCACATGCTTGTTGATACATGTTGAGCACCTCTAATTCCAAAAGCTCCAAAATTTAAAAATTTTGAGCATCAACATAACACTACAAGCAAAAGATTCCATATCTGTTTCATGCACAAAATTATTTAAAATGTACAAAATTAACTTCAGGCTATG